GGAAATAAAGGGAGGAGCGAAAGGGGAGTGGAGTTTGCAGGAGACCATTCATTCGCTTAATTGGTTCGTGACTCTCCGAGACTCCTTGCCAAGTTCCGTTGATATCGGCCTGGCAGCTCTCCAAGCCAGATAAGGTCTGTGACTGTAAATCCTCCCTCGAAAGACTTTGCTGGATGTGAATGAGCAGAATTCACGGGAAATTAATCAAAGGGTTTTTTTGTTGGGACAAGGAGGCTCTTGGGAAGCCTCGCTCCCTCTTTCTCACCTGAGCTTCAGGGAAGCGTATCGCAAAGTAGCCCCTTCAAATTCTTTTAAACTGGGGTCTGGATTCACGGTGGCGGCGTGAAGGTCCTGCAGAATGACGGGAAACGGTGTGTTAAGCCCACTTAAGAGAACACCTCTCCCTTTCTAACGAGAAAACAACAACGATGCTCGGCGGACTCACAAGCAGGCATGCATGTTCACAGCACAATTGTTAAAAGTGGGGGGGGGGGGGATGACAAATGAGAACATTTGGGCTGTGTGAAAAGATCAGGTCCAGGGAGCCTGTGTTTTTGAGGAAGCGGGCAACCTGGCTTGGGCAAAGCTCACATTCACTTGGCTGATTTTGTTATCGTGAGTGATATTTGTGGGCAGACAACAGCCGTACAGCTACAGCCATGCAAAAGGCAGATTGCATTTTTTTTTAAATGAAAATGAAAATAAAATAAAAGCTGAAATGAGTGCCAAAAGCTTGTCTAAAATCTGACTGCATACTTGCCTTCCAAATGTCACTATTAATCTTTCCCCCATTCAGCACCGCAAAATCACTCCAGGCTTGTTTCTAGACATATGCGCATATGTATATATTCACACGGGAAGAAGCATATTGTGTGTTTTTTTTTGTTTTTTTTAAAAAACATAATAAACAAGAAGGATGTGGAAACGGGAAGGGAGGAAAAGGGAGAAAACACAGAAAAACACCATTGTTAGCACCGATATTTAAAGGCTGGGTTAGGGAACATAACACCTTAAATTTGACGGAAATATAATTTTAACGGCAAAGCAGAGCTGGCTCAAAGCGTGGGAAAATGTTAGCAACCAGTTCTCTGCCCGGTTGCTGGGTGGGCGTGGCCTACCCGGCCTCCTGCAGGGGGCCATTTTCATCCTTCCCAGACTCCGGATGCTTTCCTCGAGCATCCAGGAGGGCGAAAACGGCTTCCCACGGGCTCCGGAAGCCCTTCAAGAGGCCGGAAACGGGCCTGTTTCTGGACTTCCAGGAGGCCTGTTTTTCGCCCTCTCAGAGCCTCCGTGCAACCCCGGAACTTACCTGGCATGATGAACGGGCCGCATAGAGACTCCTGGGAGGGGCGGAGTGGGTGTGGCCAGCCAGTCCTTGCAACAACCGGTTCGGTGAACCGATGCGAACCGGCTGAATCCCACTCCTGCTTAAAAGTGATCCGGTTCCTATTCGTTTTAAGAAAATTGCAATCAATTGCAATTGCTTTTCATGTTAAGGTTCTGGCGTTTTCAAGATTTGTTCGGTTTTGTTTCCCAGTCGTGCAAACGCCAGGCAACCGATGCAGAACGCAATGTCCTCCCCACTCCCCGTGGCTACTCCTAGGCCGCAAAATTGGTAAGCACCAATCAAATATCTAGGAAGCACATTTTTGAAGAGATGTTAACTGAAGCCGGTTGCCTAGCTTAGTGGTCTCTGAGCCAGTTCTGATACAATGACATTTGGAAGTAGGGAAAAAGAATTTCTCAAAGGTTGACAAACATTGTTTTGCACACCCCTTGGAAATCAGCAACACACAGCAAGATGCCTTTATACAGAGTAATTTTCCTTTCCTCTCAATCATTTCCCGTGCATAGAACATAACTGATTTCCCCCCCTTTTTTAAGCCACCGTGGCCTTTTTAAAACCAGTCCTTTAGGATTCATCGTGGTTTCTTATTCACCAATTCAGCCTTCTTCACCATGAATAGGGGGGAAAAAATAAATACACATCTCCAGTGTAGGGTGGGAAAGACTAGAGGAAGTGCAGGGTCTTTAGTGCTCTCCGAGCTTGGCGGTTTTCTTGCGGGCGTTTCGTGACCCAACTAGGTAACATCATCAGTGGCAGAAGGGAGTAGGGGTTTGTGGACAGGAGAAAAAAGAGAGGTCTTTGGTGCTCTCTGAGGTTGGTGGTTTTCTTGCAAATGTCTTATTATCCAGCTAAGTAACATCATCAGTAGTAGAAGGGAGTGGGGTTTGTGGGGAGGGGAAGGAAACGGATTGTGGGGTTCTTGGTGTTCGTTCTTTTCTTGCAGACATTGCATTGCCCAACTAGGTAATATCATCAGTGCTACAGGAGGGGGAGGAGGAAGAGGATTTTGAAAATAGTGATATATAAATATAAATGGTTGATTTAAAAAAAATCTTTTCTTTCACATGGGGATTATATAAAGGTGTACTGTTATCAAATAGATAATCAAGAATGTAAGGAAACTATGATTTATTGGGGGGAAAAATAATACTAATCGTAATTGAATATATACTGTGCAATGAAAGTGAGGTATTTAGTTCAATAAGAAGAAGAATGCACTTGTATACGGTTGTTCTTTTTTTTTTCTTTCTTTCTTTATAATTTTCTTCCTTGGTTTATTTTTTTTTCTTTTTTATCATATTATATTAATAAATAATAGTTGAATAAAGGAATACACCAAGGGGAGAGGTAGAGGGAAAGAAGAGGGAGGAGTAAGGAAGGAGTAAGGGGAATGTAAGGAGGGTGTAAGGGGGCTAGGAGGAAGGGGAGAAAGGAAGGTTTGAGGGGAAAGGGAAGTAGGAGGGGAG